GCATTATGCGTTATGCAGAAATGTGTGCTCCCCGCTTAACAATATTGTTACGTGCTTTGCTACAGTGTTATATGTATATCTGTGCAAAGCACGAAATTATGTTGTTAACATTTATACTGAATAGGTGTCTTATAATTAAAAATAAAGAATTACGAAATTAACAAAAAATGACATTAATGTCAAAATATTTTTATTATAAGTTTGAAAAAGAAAATATTTAAATATATTTTTACATTTTATATGTATAATACAGTGAATATATCTTATAATATACTTTATAATATATAAATATCTCTACTATACCTTATACAATATACTAATCTAACTACTTAATTAATGAATGCATACTCATAGTTTTACTATTGTAAGCATTTAAAATTCCTTTTTTGCATTCAATTTTAACTTTATATAAAATAAAACGTTTCATTATTTTTTCGAAAATATTGTGGCAATTTAACAATGTATCACATTGAATGTGTTTCAGTTTAACTATATAAAATTTAACGAAATCAACTTTTGCGTATTTCAAATGAGGTAAATAACGTCGTATTTCAATTTCCATATGATAAAAAAATCTAAAAGTTTCATCATTCACGAAAAACGATGTATTTGGTTTATAACATCTAAGGCGAAGTAATGCAGAATATTGTGAACTACCATTATATGTTGTGGATCCAGCAGAATTTATACATTGTTTACAAACTTTAGTTAATTTCGAAACTCTAGTTAAAATGTATCCACATATGCCATACAATGAATTTAATTCTTTTTTTGATATACCTATAACTTTATTTTCTATTCCAGGAGGAAGGACAGGAGAAATGTCTTCAAATTGATTATAATTAGTTTTAGCTGGCCGTCTTAAAAAATCAGCAATGAAAGAACCTTCATCTTGGTCATAATTTGTATTTTGTAACGTTTGTAAGTACTGAGAAACCATCAGAACTTTTAAACTGTGTTTAAACTGTAAAGCGTTCGGAATTGGAAATTTTTTTCTAATATTTGAGAAAAGATTTTCCACGCAGTCTTGAGAAAATCGACCAGCAAGAACGTACGAATATTCGTTTATTAATTAAATAATTAGTAAGTTCAATTACAGATTTTGTAGTTATTAAAATGCCTCTTTGGACTGGTTTAAATCGCTGATCTGAACCAATTTTTACATCACGGAATAACTCAATTACCGAATTTAGGAACTGTATGCTTTCATTAAATTTATTTTGTGTTCTTTCATTGTTTTCTTTTTTACCTAAAGCCATCATAGGACTTCGTGCAGTTATTAATCCAAACCATTTAGACATTATTTCAGTAAATTTTGCTGTTGTTTCATATTTTTTATTACCATTTTCATGGTCCATATAATTAAATGCACCACTCACATATCTATTTAACATATTCACTGCGTGACCAACTTTCATTTTATTAAACGTTGTCGTTTTAATAACATTTTTATTTAACTTTGGTGCAAGTTTTAAATGATAATCTTTTTGTTCGGCTACTAATTCTTTAAAATGTTCAAATTGTACAATATCAGAAAATAACTTTAAAGTTTTTACAAATTTTTCAGGCAATAATATAACTTTATTATTAATCAGACAGACTCGGAGATTCTTAAATAGATGTGGAGCGTCGCAGCAAAGAAAAATAATCTACGTGATTCATCAACTGGATGAGATATTGAATTTACAATTTCACCATACCTACTAGCAGATACGTTTCCAAAAGCTCTCCACATTGCTTGGTTTACTCCACCCATATCGGATGTAATACTGTGCACATAAAGACCAATTAATTCTGCTTTTCTAATAATTTCTTCAATGATAGGTTTCAGTTTAACACCATCAAATCCGTTTGGAGTAAAATAATACCCTACGACTTGTTTCCATCTAGTAAAAATGCCAGCAAGCATTTATGACCAAACCATGCGTTGCTTCTGTTTTTTTTCCTATACAATTTAAATGTGAAAATAATACAAAGAATGAAATAATGCAAAAAATGAAATGTGAAATATGAAAGTATACATATTTATAGGTGTTTCATGCGCCATAAAATGTAAGAAAATTGAAAAATATATAATATAGGAAAAATGTTAACAAATGAATAAAACTTGTTACAGAAAAGAAGCATGCAAATTACCAAAAGTGTTAGGAATAGTAGTACCACCAAAACGTGAATTTGTTGATAAATCAACTTAATTCCCACTCATAATACTCATTTCGTCTAATGCAAGCATGCAATCTCTTTGTCTGTCATCTTCAAATTGTTCAACTTTTTCTTTTAGAGCCTCAAATATATCATCACAAATTCCAGGTTCAAATGTAATCGTTTCTAATCTTCTACGAAGTGTCCTAGTAGATGGCAAAGGAATATTTTGTTTCATAAGTTCTTGGTAACCACTATTGGAACATGATACTTTTAACCGAAGTGCTTTTTTTATGGTTTCTTCAGACCATTTATGTACAGTTTTACAACTAGAATCACGTTGGAGCTATTTGATTTGGTCATCATTGAATACTTTGTGTAAAATTTCTGTAGATTTTAATAAACTTTTCTCAACACGTATTCTGTTGTTACTTCTCAGCCGTCTGATACGTCTTAATAAAAAGTTATTTGATCTTAGTACTTTTCGAACGGATACATCTGCAGCTTGAAGCTTAGCATTTGCCACTTTTAATTGTTTTTCCAGATTTTCAGCTTTTAGAACAGCAATTTTCAATGCTTCATCTAACGTTGATGTAGTTGTACAATCTGTTGGAGTTTCATAATCCGTGGAATTGGTTTTTTCACAAATTTTATTAACTTCAGTACTCGGTAATTTACTAGTAAAAACTTCTATTGAATTTATTTGTTGATTTGGTTCTATATTTACTTCCACAATTTCGTCATGCGATGAACTATTGGTATTATAATCTGTTGATGATTGATCATTTAACGGTGGAGAAACTGAAGAAGCTGCAGGTATTATCTGGCAAGGAGAATACAAAAATGTTGAAAAATGCACATTTTTAGTAAAATTATCATAATTTCCTTGTTTCTTATATATGTATATATATATATATACACACATATATATGACATAAAAAATAATAAAAATAAAACTTACATTAACATTATGATTATAAAAAATAGTTGGCTCAGCATCATCTTTTAATTTTTGTTTACCATCTACACGAGGTTTTTCCCACATTGCATCAGAAAAATGTGACTATAAATAAAATCATTTAGATTAATATCATAGTTCCTTCATTAGTTATTTATTATAAAAATACATTTTCATACTTATATGACAAATAAGTCCATGCTCAGGAGGTTTCCAATTAGGCCACAGATTGTTGATATTTTTTATCTAATTTAATTTTTTTTTTACATCTTTTGGAAATCTTCTCATAGAATATCCTTTTTTATTGTTGTTAGTACATCCAGGTATACAACAACCAGCCATTATGCCAGAGAAAACCCTTTTAAAAGTGAAACACGTACATTTATCTATGTATGTATTGTATGTACATACATCTCGATATTTTCAAGTTTTAGTTATCTTATCTCTCTATTAAGCTAAAATAAAAATATAAGCAAACTCACTTTTTATGTAGACTAATTTGGAGATGATATAAATCTTTATATACAACGTCGACGATACAACGATTCCAGGATATACGATTCACGTGTAGTCATCCATCGCCGCCATGGTTTTTCTTCCGTCTAGGGCGTCTAGACTAGAGTCTCTATATACGTGACGTTCACGCCATGTTGTTGCACTCCCAAAGTCTGTCCAGACTCTTATAAAGGGACTCTAGCTGTAACTAGAGTCCTAAATAAATAATCATTTATTTGATTTATTTATTTGATTATTTAGGACTCTAGCTGTAATCAACCAATCAAAAGTAGAAACAATATAGAAGTCTGTGATGCCGCCGCCGCCATCTTATGATCGTATGTATGTACATACGCCCTGCTGTCTATTGGTCTATAACCGACCAATCAGAAGGAGAAACAAGTTCGCGTTTCTCTAGTCGTTAACTGGTAAAGCACCTCTTGTATTCTTTCATCATAGGCAGAAGCCATTGGGATTGGGAGCCAACAATCAAAAGGAAAGAAGAAAGAAAGGTCATTACACAAAAAGTGTGGCTATAGTTGAAAGTTTGAAAAAATTTGACAGTTAAATTTGTCAGGAATTGCAAAGATGGCTTATGTAAACAATATCCTTCAACCGCACGCAGTTAATGTTTCAGAATATATGATACCAGATTGGCTTAATTCAGAACAGAGCACAGGGGTGAGTTGCTGGAATGAACGGTTTTAGGTTATAATGACATTGCAAAGCCGAGATCTGAGAAACAAAACACTTTTATTAGAGATTAACTAAAGACAAATATTTTATCAAATAATTGAAATATAATTATTTGTTTTAAAAAGTTGATTTTGCTGATATTTTTAAATATTTTTTTCATATACTTTGAAGCATATGTGCATAATGAAAGTATAGAATTCAGTAAATACTAGTGAATATACATTTACTTTCGAAAGTAAAGAATAGAAATAAACATGTTATGTTTACTATTATATATATATATATATATATATATATATATATATATATATATGTTTATAAAGATAAAAGAAAGAGAATTGTCGTATCTGGAAAAACATGACTCAGAAATAGATAAACAATTGAACAAAACAACAAGATTGACAGCTTTTATAAGTAGGATACATATTTGTGGTTCATATTTGCACACTCTTCTGTCACTTAGAAAATTTTATTTAAAGATCTGCAAAGAAGATTATGGGTTTATTACATGTTTCCTTACCTTAATTTATGAATTCGCAGTTAACTCTTTTTACGTTAAGTGATGCAATGTTTAAAGCTGTCTTATACTCTATTTGCAGACATCAATCATGGCGTGTGAGTTTAATGGTGGCGTGGTGATAGGTGCTGATTCTCGGGGTACAACGGGGTAAAGTATAATTATTTGGCAAAGCAATTTTTATCTATCACAATTCCTCATGTAAACTTACATAATTTTTTTTAGAGCTTACGTCTCCAATCGTTTTGCTGATAAATTGACGAGAGTAACAGATTATATTTATTGCTGCCGTTCTGGCTCAGCGGCAGATACTCAGGCAATTGCTGACATTGTAGCTTATCACTTAGGATTGCATCAGTAAGATATCAAAGGACATCCTATAAATGTATTGCATCTATTTGTTGATGATAAGATGTACCATCTTTTCAGGATGGAGCTTGGAATGCAGCCATTGGTAGAAACTGCTGCTAATGTATTCCGTGAAATATGCTACAACTACCGAGATTCCCTAATGGCTGGGATCCTAGTTGCAGGATGGGATAAGCAGAAAGGTGGTCAGGTCTACAGCATTCCCATAGGTGGTATGTGTGTGAGACAACCGATCTCGATTGGGGGTTCCGGCTCGACATATGTATATGGATATGTAGATGCTCAATACAAACCCAATATGTCGAAAAATGAGTGTCTCAAACTGGTAGAGAATAGTAAGTATCCGAAAGATTGTTAAGATTCTACAGTTTACATACTAATGATTTTAACACTTCTTTCAGCACTTGCGTTAGCCATGGCTCGTGATGGTAGCAGTGGCGGTGTGATACGAACTGGTGTGATCACAGAGAAGGGAATTGAGAGAAAAGTCATACTGGGTAATGAATTGCCGCGCTTTTATGAAGGGTGAAGATTATGTCAATATGTTTGTCGCGATATGTTTAATGTAAGGTATACATATATTTCTAAAAGGTATATATTTATGCGAGATACATGCCGCATTTGATAATTATAATAAAAGATTATAATTCGATGTTTTTTTTTATTCTTCGATATTCACCCTTGGGAATACAATATTTTTATTTTAACGCAATGTAACAAAATATAGCGATATTATTTGGTTTTGATTGATTATTAATTTATGCTACTCATTTAGAAGTTGCATAAATCACGTCGCATTGATTACGTTGGGGTATTATTATTATTATTATATATTCCGATTATTGAATATTTTTAGATGTTTTTACATGAGAGACTGCCTTTGTACTGAAAGATTCGTGGTGGAATCGCGGCTCTCAATTTAACTAAACATATATCTATATCACTATACTAAATTTAGGTCATATTATTCACTTGCCGGTCTTCTAGCTGCGAGGTATACCGAGTCGTTCATTTTGTACTCCGTACTTTGTGCCCATTGTCAGTTTAATTAGAAGATTGTCATAATGACACTATCATGATGCGCGTAATCGCGGTGCGACGCTCCGGACTCTTTCTCAGGTTCCGTCACAGTTCGCGTGATCTTTATCAAGGTAGTCGTCTCTTGGCTTCCGCGATAGATTCACCATTCTCGGCGTGTGCCAGTCATACTCGTTAGCTACCGATTCGAGCGGAAACCAATTCGTCCTAATTACCTTCGAATTATTAACAGTTGTGAAAATTTAATTTTCGAAGTATTGTGTTATTAAAATTGATAAAATTACAAATTATTTAAACAATGCCGATCTAAGAGTTTCATTGAAATTTATTTTATTTCTTATCTCGTCATATCTTTTAATCTTGTTTTACTGATCCCAAAATAAGCTTATTTGAATGTTTTGTCAAATATTAACACAATTGACTATAATTTTAATAAATAATTACAACATTATTTGAATTTTACTGTATAGATAATTAAACATGACAGGATAATATAGCGAATCGCAAGTTGCAAAAAATATTCCATCGATCTTATCGTGAGCATCCCGCATATTCATCGTGATAGACAATAGCATAACTTCTACTACTTCTGTAATATTGATAGAAGCGTCATTAAGCGTTAGATTAAAACATCACCAGACCAAAATATTTGTTTTGTACATTTCTTTTCCAAGATCTTGGGAGCAAAAAAAAAATATCCCTTCAGTATATCATATTAGATTTAGTTTTGTAAACAAGATGACTTCAGAGGGCACCTTGAACGATCTGGATCTAGCGAAATGGGCGCCAGAAATGCCCACCGTTCAGGAGATCATCAAGTCTATGCAGAATTTCGGTATGCCAGACTACACCATATTCGCTGCGATGTTGGTCATGTGCGGCATTGTCGGTATTTACTTTGGCTTCGTAAAGAAGTCCTCGGGCGAGGATGAGTATTTGGTTGGTGGGAGGAACATGTCAACGTTTCCTGTCAGCCTTAGTCTGCTAGCTAGTTTTATATCAGGTATAACTGTATTCCTTTTTCTACTATTATTTTTATATTGCAAATAGCTTATAAGGATAAAGCGTGTAGATGTGTAGAAACTATACATATACATACATGCGAGAGTACGATTTTATAACACAATTTTCTTGACATTTGTTATTTACACTGCTCAAAAAATTAGGGGATCACTTTTTCTCAGTAAATTTTGCCCTTTTTTAAATTGCAATTACTCAGCGAATAATTGACGTAAAAATAGTTTAAAAAAGGGTTTTACAAGGCAAACTCTCTACTATTAAGGTGCTTTAGTTCAATAAGTTCAATTTCCACTTAGATTACTATTCAAAGGCGTCAGCTTTGAATAAGGACGTATTTGAAATATCCAAAATCTTGAAATTTGCAGTCTTCTACCGCCTAACAAAAAAATTGACGAACATAATCATTCATACCATCTCAAAAATACCGACTTTGCTCTTTCAAATGGAGAAGAAAAAAAAACTTACAATTAGTAAAACTTCGGATTATAAGGGCGACCTCACCGATTTCAATGACCTTGATATATGTTGTCAAGGTTATGACCCCGAGTGACCTTCAAAAGGTTTTAGCTGTCGCTCGTTATTCGTTAAAAAGTTATTAACAAAAATGTTTGGAAAATATAGCAGCTATTTTGAGTATTAGAAGGCATAAATGACTAATATGGTATGTACATGTCGAAATAGTTCACGCATACACTTTCCACGCAAAACGAGGTGCCACATGGGTTCATGGCGTGTTTTACAAGCTCGTTTATATATACATAATGAAACATATATTCTCTATTAATTTCCTGAATACACATATTTTATGTCATCTAGTAATACATAAAATGGGTCTTCTCCAATTCTTTTCACATAGATGATCAACTAACTTATCTTGTTTAATACCACTTCTACTTAAACGAGCTAGTAAAGCACGCCACGAAACCATGTGACAACTGGTCTCGCGCGAAAAGTGTATGCGTGATGGCAGTATTAGGTTCCGCCCCCCTGCGGGGGGCTCCACTATTGTTAAACTAGACACAAGCGTTCATACATGTATTATTTTCACATACATATTAGTCGTTTATGCTTTCTAATACTCAAAATAACTGCTATATTTTGTAAACTTTTTTTGTTGATAACTTTTTAACGAATAACGAGCGACGGCTAAAACCTTCTAAAGGTCACTCGGAGTCATGACCTTGACAACATATATCAAGGTCATTGAAATCGGTGAGGCCTTAATCCGAAGTTTTACCAAAAACTTTATCCTACGATTATTTAGCGAGATATCGCAATTTATCCTCCAACTGCATACTTTTTTTGGACCTTAACAGTGCATACGTGCGGTTTGTCGCGTGCGACGTTATTTTTTCTACCTTAAAGTATTTAAAAAAAATCTGAAAAAATTCACAAAACATCTGTCAACATTGTAGTTGATGATTTTATAGTCATTTTGATAAATATCGTTTATTTAATATTTTATTTTTAATCAACTTTGAATAAGATGAATAAAGAAAAAAGATGAATTTTTTTAAAATCCATTTTGTAAATTTTTCTTTATGCAGTATAAAAAAATTCTTTTAAGGTTTTTTACTTCAAAGCTAAGTGTTCAAGAAAAAAATAATGCACATTGATATCTTCAAAAAAGTTGAATTATACAGGAGGGTCAAAACGGTACTTTTTAGGTAGAAAAAATCGTTGATAAATAAAAATTAAAGGTAAAATTATATATAATATAGCATATATGATATTTCTAAATAATTTATTATAAAATGTAATATAATATGTAGAATATGTTGAAAAAAATTTGTCCATCGAGCTTATTCGGCCGCCGTCTGAAATTTAATTTTTTGGGAATAACTAAATTATCTAAACAAGCAACTATTTGTCAAAATCTTTTAAAGGGACATTGTTTTGACCAAAAACAACATTTATCATGATAAATAATTGCAACATTGTTACTGACAAATAAAGACTTTTTTTTTTACGTGTGGAAATCTACTATTGGGATCCCAGGCCGAAGCCCAGTTTACCCAATAGCCCCCTGTTCGACAGGGGGGGAAGACCCCCTCACCCTCCTGGGAGAGGGATGAGGGGAGTGCCGGGTTCCATGCATGCACATCGCCTACGATACTGCATGCATGACCTACCGGCTAAAACCACACGGGTGTCTTTACCTGCATCGTTGTGGGGGTCGCCCGGGGACAGTTATTATGCATCCGGACGCCCCCCGATGCCTAGCCAGGTTTGGCTTCTTCGCTGAGCCTAGGCTCTGTGGCTAATGACCACTGACACTGGTATGCAGCAGGATGGGGACACCGCCCACCCCGCCGTTCCACCCATTGTTGTGGGAGAATAGTCGACGCGTCGGATTCCCAGCCGGCGCGCCGATCTCCCTCCTCCGAGGTCTCTCCCCGTCGAAGGGGATAGTTCGGAGGTTCAGCACCACTCTTGTATGACAGATAATATAAAGACTATGTCGAGTGTATACCTGGGTCTGAGACGTCCGCGCGTCCGTGCGAAATTTGACTCGCTCGGCATTCAGCGATATGTTTATCTTTCAAAGCGACTTTGGGTCCTTGGATTCCTTTCCCTACTTACCCAGATAGCAGAGTGTGTCAAATGACGTTATAATGCCGTCAAAGTGACGTCTCTAACTCTAACGACAACAATCCGTCACTTTGACTGCACTATTACGCCACTTGACGCCACTCTGCTATCTGGGTACTTTTTTAAAGAGGATCCCTGGTGGAAATAATTTTACAAATTTTCACGCAAAAATTATGCAAAAACTACAATTTCTTATAATATAATTACAACTTTTCACGCTATTTTTACGTAATTTTTACATCAAAAGTACGCGATTTGGGCCATGTTTGTAATTTTTCATAAATTTACGTAGAAATTTTTATGAATAATTAACAACTTTTTGGATATACTACAAACAAAATAAAAAATAAAATTTTCTTCTCTCGTTGAACATTATTTTATTGCTGAAAATCTTGATTACGTGCAAACTTAATTAAATAAATTTATTATTGTACTTAAAAAATTTGCTTACCACCTCTGGATTTGAACCTGAAACTCCCGGCTCTTGAGTCAGTCACCTTCCCATACAGCACAGATTGTTGCAGAAAGCTTCCAGAAAGGTTTCAAACCTTGCAGAAAGTTTCCAAATCTTTCTGGAAGCTTTCTGCAACAATCTGTGCTGTATGGGTTCCGCACTGTGCTACAACATTGTCTATACTCGGCATGTAATATTTCAGAAACATTTCTGCAAAATTCCATTTGAAATATTACACCTTTCATCAATATTTCAGAAATATTTTACAACCGTTTCTGCAACATTTCTGCAATGTTTCAATCGGCACAATTATTTCAAATGCAATTTTGCTGAAAGATTTCGGCAATATTTCGGTAATATTACTGAAATATATCTACGAAATATTCCAGAAACACTTCAGAGATATTTCAAATACATTTTACACTGAGAAAAATGTTTTATATTAGCAAACAAAATTTTGTTACTGACGCAAAAACTATTTGTTGATATGTGAAAAATGAAATATTTTGTTACCGGAACAAAAAAATATATTAAGCCATGTGCGTATAGACGCCGCGCATTTGTCCGAAGATATCCGCTCTCTCAGCCGGTCACCCATCCTCTGACTCTGACTCTGACGCTTCTTTCTTTCTTATACTTGCTTATTTTGGTGAACATAAAGCTATCGCATAACAATATTAACAATACAAATATACGAATAAATATTTTTTGCCAGTCAGCGTCGAATATTATTTTATATTAAATATTACTAAATATTTTATATTTTATATTAAAAATGCTCTATTACAAAATTTGGAATATGAGAGAATTCTTAATAAAAGAGAAAAAAAATGCAATAAAATGCATTATATGTAATAATCAATTTAATTTTTTATAAGTTCTAAAGTCTGTCAGCAACTTTTCGGAAATATTACAAATGCAATGTTGTATGTGAAACATTCAAAAATATAAACGCGTGCAATGTAAACGTAATAATAGTTTTATCATGTATCAGAAATGTTTCTAAACCATTACATCTGCAATATTTCTTCTGCAATATTGTAGAAATTCACTGCCTGCAATTCAATTTTTCATTACCTACGCAATCTTTCAGAAATTTTTCAGAAATATTTTAAATGCAATGTTGCGTTTGATATGTTACAGAAATATTATTCGAGCAATGCAAACGTAATATTACTTTTATAATGTTTCAGAAATATTTCTGAAATATTACATCTGCTACATTTTTTTGTAATATTACAGAAACTTGCAAATATTGTAAACAACTTTCTAAAAGATTTCAGAAATATTGTTAATGCAATATTATAAAAAACATGATGCAGGTACATTTCTGAAATATTTCAGATGCATAGTTACAAATGAAATGTTAACGAAATATTTCTGCACTATTTCCGAATATTTCGATATTTCAGTAACATAACATGCCGAGTGGGTATATATATGGGTATATATGTTACACTTATTGTTAACAGACGTACGGAATAAGGTGTTAGCGCTTAATAAAGTCGGTTCAATATATATATATTCATTATATATATATATATATAATATATTATATATTTCTTACAAAATTGATGTCGGTCATCGATTCAATATCGAATCGATGACTTATCGACATCGAATTTGACATCGAAAATCAGCCGATTTCAATCAAATTGTTTTGGCATCAAGTTGCTTCTTTCTAAGTTCAAAACTCTAAAAATTTTATCTAAAATTAAGAGACTATCACCATATATAGTATAAAGATAGTCATCGATTCGATGTCGATCGATATCGAACCGATGACTATGCATACTCTCATATGGTGACAGGCCGATATTCATAGTCGGTTCTTATATTGTTCAAGACCGTCTTAAGTTCAATTTAAAAAGGCATGAACCAATCGCATACCAATCGTATTAGCGTCTTAAGATATAAACTTAAGACTGTCTTGAAAT